TGAAAACCTCTGCACAGCACCTGGAACCACATCCGACTCCACAGGGTCCTGAATGACAAACAATAAATGGTAAAAACTAACAATTTCTGCATTTGACTGGCCTGCACAAGACCTACAAGAAGAATTAGAGCAGCGTTAGAGCATTTGGCAGCAGGATAATTAAGAAATAATACATCTACGAGTTTGCTAATCTCAGAGAATAATCTCATTCTGGCTGTGGTTAGAAAAACAATGGAGGTTCACATCCCTAATAGATTTTTGACAATCCTTGTGCTCCACAGGCTACCTGTAAGAGGTTAAAAAAATAAATATCAGAAAAGTGGTTAAAAGTAACTGTTTTGATCATTAACAGAATATTGTCTTCAGTTACATAAGTGTTTAAATCTGAAAAAGGGATATGAAAGAAGAGCACTTTAGCACAGCCCTCACTCACAACCTGAGGAGGAACACCAGGTACCAAATTCAGTAAGGAAACTGGTCACAAGGGCTGGGAGCAGGACTGGTAAAACTTGGGATCCAGAACAGGAGCAGTGCCAGTTCCCTGGGGCTGACAGCCCATCTCATCAGCTTTGCTCAAGGCAGTGCATGAGCAGTTTATTTCTCACAGCTTGTCCTTGTAGTTCCCCTCTTTCCTCATCCAGCATTATTGGGAACATCCTCCTGTTCTTGACAATGGGAATGTCAACATTTTATTAACATGTGTAAATATTATACAAGCTTAAATATTCACACATGCATAACCTTAAGTAGGCTGCATTTCTATTTACAACTACTTATTTAAATTCCTTCCTTTAGATAGAGAATTCTCCCTTCTAGACCCATTGAGTTCTCATATGGATGAGAGTTCTTTTGATCATTAACAACTGCAAAATTTTGGTGCAGCTTTGCTTGCCTGGGGCACCGCTTTGCTCATTGAAGATCATTGTAGGAAAACACTGTGGGCAAGAGCGTCTGCTTGTCTGGTTATCCATCCTCCAGCAGCTTTAGGTGTCAGTGGGCAAGTTCAGCTAGATTTGAGAGATTTGGCTTGTCTCGCACACACCCCAGCTCTCACCAGCAGGCAGGGAGCTGGGCAGGTTGTGACCAGGCTTAGGCCCTGCTCCCAAAAGCCTCAATTCGAGCCGTGACCGTGTCCGTGGGGGAATGCAAAGGAACACATCGGAGCTTGGCAAACTGCCCTCAGCAGCTTCCCAGGAGCGCAGGGCTCCGTGGGCACCCCGTCCTGCCCGGGCAGCCACAGAAACACAGGGGGAGGAGATGAACAACAGCATGTGATGGAACACAGGTACAGCAAAACAGGGGGAAAGGCTGCTGGAAGGGCAAGCAAGGCAAACGTGCACAGACAGCCTCTGCAGGTGCTTCACATGTACTGTGCACGAGCTTGGTCTGACCCAAAAGACACAACAGGTCAGTGCTGTGCTGACCTCAGACTATTATACACAGGTCTATTAGGTCTGGATTGAAGACTTATTAGAGTCAGAGCTGGCTCATCTTTGAGTGCTAGAGTCTTAGACACTTGCTCACATACATTTTGGAGAAACACTGCAGCATCCTGCAGCTCTTCAGTTCACCACAAACATGAGTAGCTATATTTAAAATTTAGGTTATTATAACTTCCTTGTATTTTTTATGTCCAGCAAATGAATGGGTCAACTCAGTGGTGAACAGACAACACTTCTGAAAAAGAAAACCATTCTTTTAAGTGCCTTACTATTCAAATATTTATTCTTTTAAAAAGTTTCCTTCAAAATGACTGATTTGAAATCAAAGCACTGGATCTGATACCTCTGTGGATTTTTTTTAACATTCAGTTGTAATAGTTCAATGTTGATCTGCTCTGATAGTCACAGCATTTAAACCAGTGACTTGACTACATGCTGAATAGGGAATTTTTTTTTTCCTAAGTTTACTGTCACATCCTTTCTTACAATACAGGAAAGAAGAAGGAAAGCAATCTGCAAAATGTTTTATAGAATTTTCAATACCCCTGTTAATGCCACCTAATGCTTTTCTTTTTGAAATTATTTTATCTTAGTTTCTGCCAGGATAAAAAACACAAGAGCTGCTCTCCCAAACTACACAATGTGCTGCAAGAGATTTTAGCATTGGAGTGGGGATTAATCCTGGAGCACAAAATGAGGGAAAGAAGAGATTTAAAGGCAAGCAGGCACACAAGATTTGTGCTGAGGAAGAAAAAGCGTCCCCTAAGCAGCACACACAGGGGATCCAACTGCCCTAAGGTCTGCTGCTGTAGGTCTTCCCTCTAGCCTTCTTTAAAAATCATTTTCTATGAAGATGGAAAGTACCAGATTACAAATATTTTAAGATAGAGTCAATAGAAAAATAATGTTTGGAATGCATGCAGACACCTCAACTGAATTTGTGTTGCAGTACAGCAAGTTCTTCAAACCCCAGCTGTGAGGCAGCACCTCCCAACCTCTGGAAAGATCACTCCTCACTTCGTGCCTTACCTGCCTTGCAACGTGCAAAAATTTGCCTTCTGCGTTGTTTAGGAAAAGGAATTTTACAGACACTGAATTTGTTTTACACAGTGTCTGCTCCAGAAGCCTGGGGGGATCAGATCCTCACAGCTCAAAGCACACCAGACCTGAGTGACTCTTGATCACTCAAAGTGTGACCCCTCAGGGTTTGTTTTCCCATGAAAAACAAAGAAATGTACCAGGCACATTTACTCTTTAGGAATATACAGTGTAACCTCCCCAGCATCGTCCATTTCACATTTTATTTCCTTCATATGGCTACCATATGGCCCTTGTGATTTATTTCACCTGAGCTTCTTCAGTTGTTCCAAATTCCCTCCTTCGGGACTATGATTTCTGTTAGGACACACATTGATCTTGCATGAGATGGAACATGGAAGAAAAATTTGAAAGTCCTTTCCCCAAGTAAAAACTGCTACAAATATTAATTTAACTTCTCTGCTGCTTTATTTTTTAATTATCCCTCCCTGTCAGTCACAAGGCCTGGAGTCTCACCAATGGCATAGGTGCATTTAAAACAGCTTTAAATCATGTATTCTTTAGTCAGTCTGCTGCCCCTTTGGTTTGTTGTTGCCAGAGGAAGGGAACTGTATAAAAGCTGGGTGGTACTGTGTGGTTATTGCAGTAACCAAAGCAGTGCACAGCCTGTCAGATAGTGCATCTCTCTCTGTGTGTGCGCCATCGTTCCTTTCACATGGGGCCAGCAGAAAAGCTGTGGCGCTCTGCAAGCTGCTGCTGCTCTGGAGGAGGTTTCTGTCCCTCTCAGTCACACAGAGCCTCCTCTCGAGCACACCCAGGCTTTGCTGACAGGTAAATCATTATTGCAGCACCTGCACTGCCCCTCTGGCAGGGGGGACAGGGAACATTTCCTGATGTGAAACTGCCTGAAGCGCCAAATGCCAACCGATGGTCAAAAAGAAAAGGTGGAAGAACAGCCCTAATCCCTGATTTCCAGTTCCACACTCTTTCCCTCAGAGACAGACTCGCTTTTTACCCATTCTTATGGATCTCTCTCAGAATGGGTTTTACCTGTGTGAATTGGAACTGGACTGAGTTCCCTTTTACCTGCCAGCAGCCACGTTCCATGTCCAGCACTCTGTAGTTGTAAAGGTCAGAAGTGAAAAGACAAGTCTGTAACATGAACTATAACCGGGCAAACTATGAGTTTTCAAATGCATATCCTCATCAAACCAAAACAGAGCCCATGGATACACTGAGAATCATTTCTCTGAAAAGGAGTGAGCTCTGTGCCCAAGCTCAGCTTCCGCCCTGCAGCCCTTTCAGTTGTGGAGCTGATCAAAACAAGGTCACGATGATATCCTCCTCTAATGAAAGAAATGTTCCTTTTCCATTCCTCTTCTCTGGGAAACAGGCGAGTTGGTTTTGTTCAAACGTTCAACATTTTAACGAAGATCCCTTTGAAATCACCCTTGAAAAGTGTAGGCCTAATAAGTTTAAGTTTCAAACAGTTCCTGGAAACAGGAGGTCAGAATCCAAAAATCTTTCAGACAATGTCAGTGCACCTGTGACAATCTTACACGGAGACAACAAAGTACTCCAAAACCAGCCTGTTACTTCTTGTGTGGAAGAAAAGTAAAAGAAACAAAGGGGGAAAAGTGGCTCAAATTCACAGTTCTGGAATAATTGGCCCTTCCATCTCTGGTTGTGCAGGTAAGAGACACACAGCATTCCAGAAAGGAAGGCCTGGGTGAAAAATCACCAAACATCCCCTCAGCTCCAGAGAGCCACTCCTTCCTGCCCCTGGCTCAAGGCAGGGCTGACACAGGAGTCAGAGCAGGGTACTCCCCACTTAGTCATGCCCAGACAGTTTCTAACCCCAAAGTGTTTAGATTCAAACCTTCCTACGCCAGACAGCTCCAGAACACAAGACAGAAGGGCTTTTGTGTTATTGCTAACTAAAAACTAGCATCAACATCAAAATCCTGCCTCACAGAACAGGTTTTACCATGCTTTCCTTCTTGTAGGAAACCTGAATCAAGTGTTTAGTATTTCACTGAAAAGTGAGGGCACAGCAGAGAGAATATTGGTAAAGTGAGAATAACACATCATGCATGCTCTCAGATGTTCATTTCTGTGCAAGTCAAAAATCACAGAGCAGTTTAAACAAATCTTAACATGCCTCATGCCCAGAAATGGGATTCCTCCTACAAACACCTTAGGCATAAATATCACAACATCTTCCTCTTGTGTCCAGTCTCCTCCCACTCTACTCTATTCACTTACCAAAACCACACAGGTATTTTTATCTTTTTCACCTCTTACCACAGTAAATCAGAATATCGTGAACCTTCTGTAACAAGGCCAAACAAGTTATGGGATCCATTGTTTCGTGTCTTAAAAAGCATTCTTAAAAAAGCCCAGAAGGACAGACAGATACCCATTATTTACCTGAAAACAGATTTGCGCTAATGTAAAAAACTTGCTTTTGAACGCATCTGTTAGGCACAGATTTGGCGATGGATTTATTACCGAACGCACCTTTGCTTTGAGATCAGCACAGATCTCCAGCTGCCTTTGCCTGGAGCCAGCCAGCAGCGCCTGTGCCTCGTGAGCAGCAGCGGCCTCCGCAGCAGCAGCCAGGGCCCTGAGGACAAAGGCTCTCCGGAGCTGGGCCCAGGCTGACAGCAGGGCTCTGCGCTGGCTCCTGATGCAGAGGAAACGATCCCGAGCCTTCTCGTGAGCCACCTGAAAGGGGAGGGCATTTCACAAAGGGTTAAAAGCTATTGGTAATAAAGTTCTAATTCTAGACATTTTTGCAAACCTGGCTGTAACCGATTTAGGTCTTGTATCCCCAATATTCCCACGGAATCCAGGGCACCGTGCCAGGTGCCAGGGATGTCACCATGTCCTGCTGTCCTGGGCAGTGATGCCCTCCAGCACCACAGCATCCCCCTGGCCCCCTGCTCTCTGTTCAGCTGTGCCTTTGCAATGGGAATAAATGAAATGCAATGGTCCCTCCCTGCCCTGAAGGACATAACATATAAGCAGGTCCTTCAATATTTCTCCAGAGATATTGAGCACTTCCAGCAAGATGAGGCTTTTCCTATCAAATTATGATCTGCAGAGAAACAGGACGCAATAACAGCATTTGTACAAAAGCAGTACAGGGGGGAATCAGCTTCACTTCTTTCCTAGCAGGAAGTTTGGAAATAAAAGCTTAGTTGGCCAAGCAGCACGGTGCCACCACCAGTGTCACCACCTAGCAAAAACAGCAGTGTTTAATCCAAAATCCACTTGCTTTGGCCTAATTCAGTGAGGTTCACGGGGATATTCAAGGTTCAAGGCCTTGATGGAAGCAGTACCAAGTAAGGCTGCATAGAATGAGGCAGCAGAGTCTTGAACCTGTCTTATATCCCCAAAATACATAGGGATGAGTGAGATTCTAGAGATGGCTGGCTCTCTCAGGTGCCAAGGGGACCATTGCAGATGCCAATTGCAGGCTCTGGCAGGGAGCAGGGGATGCTGACTCACTCACAGACATTCCTATCAGCCCCTGGCTGGCTGAAGCTGCTCCTCGAGCTTCCCAGGGCCGAAGCTCAGCGCTGTCCTCGGCAGCTCCCACTCCAGGGCTGTAGGTAATCTGCTTCCCCTCATCTCAGGCTCCTGCAGCCGAGCCCCTCCTGAGCAGGGCAGGGCTGGAGGCTGCTCCCCCAAACACAGAGCTCTGCCAGGATCTGCTGTGGGATCAGCTCTGAGTGCCCGACCCCTCTGCACGGGGAAAGGAGGCCAGGAAGGCTCCAGGCTGCTGTTCCAGTGTGACACAAACGCCTTCTAAGAGCAGCGGTTTAACACTTTCCATAGTCATCGTGCTAGTACACACACCAAGACACATCAGCTCAATGAAGAATGATGTTTTTAAATTTTAGATGAACCTTCCAAGGTGTAGGGAGACCCTTTAATGCTGTCTGTGCTTACAGCATACCTGCATTGTCCAAAGCACACGACTATTCAGCCCTATTCAGGCCAGGGCAAAATTTCTGAAATCCACAAGAACTTTATTTTTAGTCAAACTCTGGCTAATTAGCAGTATCACTTCACTGTCATTCCTTTGCACTAGACATTCCTCAAACACAGGGAAGTAGAAGGTCTAAAAATACAGACAGAGATAAGAAAAGCCTCCTACTTTCCTTATGACATCCTGAAGTGTTCTGGCCTCAAAATGGGTTTCTCAATTAGCTGCTATGTGCTTATTCACTGTGGAGTGCAAGAGGAATCAGCAATCAATTTGAAAGCATTATGCATATAAAAATAGCCTCTCCCTTAGAGTGGGAGATAACTTTCTACTCTTCCTGCTATAGATGTGCCACAGAACAATTAAAATAACTATTCCAAGACAGTGCAACAAAGCTTTACATCCTCACGAAAAATAAAAACCAAGAGAAGCAGAGTGGCATAACACAGCTATAAAACTGTACAGCAGAAACAATGCTAACAAATTATTTTTGTGAGTTTGGCTTTAAGACTACGTGGAACTAAAAAATCTGCCCAGGAGTTGTTTTGAAGAGATAAGTTTTAAAATTCCTGCATCTTAAAACCAGGGATGTTTCTTCTTTACTGTACACAATAAAATTTATAATTAAGAAATTTTAACATGAAAAAATTTCAGTAAACATACATTCTTTAATACAACCGTTCACTACACAGTTTAAGAATGTGCATATTTGAATGAACAGGTAAACCAGCACTGACCAGCTCCTGCCTGGATTTGTGGGGAAGATACCTCTGCAGCATATCCAGGTACAAAGTCCTCCTCCTCTGCAGATCGCTTGGGTACTGATTGATAACAGTCTGGAAAACCCACTGATCTTCTTCCTTCCAGTCACTGTTCCTACAGGAATACAAAACAATGCATCCCAGTGTAAATTAACCACTGAAAAGGAGGAGTTTGGTTCTGGACAGCCCAGCCCCGAGCGGGCTCACAGTCCTGGTGCTGTAAACTGGAGCTGGGTTAGAGGTGACAAAATCAGATTAATGAAATAAAGAAAACATGCATTGCTTTGCTGATATGACACCATGTCATCATTGGAGTGAATTGCTCTGTTTCTAATCTGGCTTTTTACTGGGGAATGTCTCTGTGTTTCTCAAACATGCCACATAATTGGATAATCGGTGACCCCACAGGGAAAATACAGCGTAAAAAGAACAAGATGATCAGACTCCACCACTGAGCACTAAATAAATGATCAAAAGGGAATGGATGAAGTGACAATCCTTGCACACAGCTAAATGAGGATCTAGTTTACCAAACTCCAAACAGCCATAAATTCATCAGCAAGGCATAAGAGTCACCATTTTTAGAGCAGGATCTATGGTAATCAGCTTGCATGCCTCTGTCTCAGAAAATGGGGGGAGCAAGAAGTAACATCCATCTGAAAGAATACCACAGGCTGGGATGTAGATTTTTAGCCCCAATCTGAACTCTTGGCCCTGAAGGGATTAATGTCAGGCTGTCATTGCCAGCATTAGCATCCAAGCAGCAACACTGAGTCAGACCAAAAGGTCTCTCTAGCCCAGTGACCTGGTTTCAGAAGTGACTAAGAGCCCAGGGATAATTAAAAGGCAATCATGAGACTCTACCCACCCCCCAAATTCCTGCTGCCTCCAGCTGCTGCAGCTCCTGGGCTCCCAGGCCAGCAGCCCTGTCTCAGTGTTCCATGGCACTGCATGCAGTGAGGGGCTGGAACAGCCTCATCCTTAGGCAGGCTGAAAGAACAGGTGCTTCAAAAAGGGGATTTTTGTGAGAAACCGTACAGGTAATTAACATTAAGCTAGACTCCATGATCTACCACTAAATAAATCAGCAATCCTCCCCTGTGAGTCCTGACACACCTCAGTCTGAGGTGACACACCCCAGTACGGTGGCACCTGAACGTGCCACTTCAGTGACAGCAGGCAGACAGTTCCAAGAGCTGAGATTCTGCTTTGTAACGTTTTACTCTGATATTTCTGCCCATGTGGGCTGGTGAACAGACACATCTGCCTGCAGAGAGGAGGAGCGAGGCGGGGTGGGGTCCCCGAGAGCAGGGAGCAGCCCCAGCCCCCGGCAGCTCCTCCCTGCCACAGCTGCTCGTTTGTATTCCTCCAATGCCAGCCAGCCAAACCTCTGCACTGCCCACAACAAGGACACGGTTTTGTGGCAGATCCTTTGGGGAGCAATCAGCTGGAGAGACAGCTACAAGTGGTTTATTGTAAGTAGGGACAAACTGGCTGCCAATGCCTCGGTTTGTCAGCTGTGCCAGAATTTGTCAGCTGTGCTGAGATTTTGTCAGCTGCTCGTAGAAAAATAGTGAAAAAAAAGAAACCAACCAAAAAACCCAAAACAGCATGACCTAGCCCAGCATATTCATAGCCACCAAACACATGGAAAATTTCAACATATCCTGCTGAGTGAATCTGAGATGTCACCTCACTTACACTTCTGTAAAATTCCAGAAAGGAATATCTCATCTAAAACAAGTCTGAAAAGTGCCAACACATTTGACATGAATATTTAAGGTATTATCAAGTTTCTGCACTGTCAAGATATTGACAAACATTTGCCAGGCTGAGCGCCTGACCCAAATTTTAAACGTAGAGCTTGGTTTCCTCGTATGCAGCATTGTAGCAGAGCACAGCACAATCTCCGTTTGTTCCGGAGCTGAAACGCAGCAATTGTCTCACCCGCGCAGCCCGAGGCAGCTGCTTCCTTTGGAGCAGATTTAGCCAGCACTAATCCCTGGCTTTGCACACTCCCAGGAATACGAACGGCTCCAGGGGAGCTCCCTCTGCCCGCTGCAGCCCGCGCGTCCCGCGCTGCGGCACGGGCACCAGGACCGGCACCGCGGGCACCGGCGGGCACACACAGGGCCACCGCGACACCACACACACAGTGCCACCATGCCACCACACAGACCACACAGTGCCACCATGACCCACAGAGTGCTACTGTGCCACCACACACACAGTGCCACCGCGACACCACACACACAGTGCCACCATGCCACCACACACAGGGCCACCGCGACAGAGTGCCACAATGCCACCACACAGTGCCACTATGCCACCACAACAGAGGGCCACCGCGTCACCACACACACAGTGCCACAATGCCACCACACACAGGGCCACCGCGACAGAGTGCCACAATGCCACCACACAGACCACACAGTGCCACCATGACCCACAGAGTGCTACTGTGCCACCACACACACAGTGCCACCGCGACACCACACACACAGTGCCACCATGCCACCACACAGACCACACAGTGCCACCATGACCCACAGAGTGCTACTGTGCCACCACACACACAGTGCCACCGCGACACCACACACACAGTGCCACCATGCCACCACACACAGGGCCACCGCGACAGACACAGACAGGGTGCCACCGCGACAGAGTGCCGCAATGCCACCCGTGCCACCCACAATGCCACCGCGACAGACACACAGTGCCACCGCGACAGAGTGCCACCATGCCACCACACAGTGCCACCATGCCACCACGACAGAGGGCCACCGCGTCACCACACACACAGCGCCACAATGCCACCACACAGACCACACAGTGCCACCATGACCCACAGAGTGCTACTGTGCCACCACACACACAGTGCCACCATGACAGAGTGCCACAATGCCACCACACACACAGTGCCACCGTGCCACCGCACAGACACAGTGCCACCCTGACACCACACACACACACAGTGCCACCGTGCCACCACACACATAGTGCCACCCTGACACCACACACACACAGTGCCACCGTGCCACCAGGTGAGAAGCACAGCCCCTGCCGTCACTGCAGGCCCTCCCCATTGCAGCACCAACAGCCCGCAGGGCCTGGAAGAGGAATCCACCCTGAATCTGCTCCGCTCTGTCCTGCTGTCCCATCCCTCCGAAAGGATGCTGCACAGGATGCAGTGCTGAGCCTGCAATGCTCCATTCATCCTTTAGTCATTTAAATAATTCAGACATCCTCGGAAATTGTGGAAAAAATATAACAGCGCTTAAAGAATCATTCTAACATGCATCAGTCCAAGCCCACAATTTGTGGGATAGCTCACGACCTGGGTATTTCCCAAGCACAAACATTTGTGTTTCAGCAACATAAAAAAAAAAAAAAATTAGATTATAAATATTGTAATCTTGTATAAGGCTTGAAATCAAACCCAAGCTCTTCTTCCATTTCTAAAAGCAATGACTACTGCAATGTGCATTCTAGTGTGAATGAAAATCACACAGAACAGACCAGACCAGAACATTATCTTATTCCAAAATTTCTGGTTTGAACATTTCATGTACATTTTCCAAATTCTCTGTTCCAGACAGTCTGAAGTGTTAAAAAAATGGGATGTGCAATGCCAGAGTAGTATTAACTGAAGGTTTCTTTACTGTACAATCAACATATGATGGCAGAGGAAGCGAAGTGGCCAAGTGACCCAGCTATTGTGTTATCATAGAATCATGTGCTACTGAGCAACTTCTCAAATGACACAAATAAGGAATGAATGCATTGCAGGAGGATGTGTGGCCTCTCTGGGTACAGAGCAGTGGCAGGAGCTGCAAAGGCTTTCCTAAGGCTGAATTAACCACAAGAGCACAGGGGTGCACACCAAGGTCGAGGGGCTGTCACTCCAATATCTGTGCCAGTTGGATCACAGTTAGCACGATGAATTATACAATACTTCAATCACAAGGCTGCATCTTTGCAAACTCATAGGATATCTCCATGCAAATTAGCCAATATAAATGTAAGAAGTGAGTTGAGTTTTACAAACCCATACCTTGGAAGCAAGCAACGCTATAAGAACAAAGTCTTTCTTTTTTTAAAATTGAAAACTCATTTTTAATCCTGTTGTGGATAAAGTCACTTGAACATAAATGAGCAACACATTAAAAATTTGAAGGCCAGAAGGCAAACAACAGTCCCCAAGGTCTAGTTTTAAATCAAATTGATGATTGCTGGTGGTTCGTTTATGATTCCCTCCATTTCCAGTTCTCAGGGCTGGCCCAAGCTGGGTCTGTGTCCCTGCAGCCTCTCTCAGATTCCTGCCCCACCACCTGCACGTCCCCCAGCCCCATCCACTGCATTTCTCCCATACAGAGATCACACCCTCCCTCCTTCCAAGTGCTGCTGCACATGTGTTCAGGCTACCACTGATTTTCTTTCATTGCAGATATGGTATTTTATCTTTAAATCCTGATATTATTTAATTATTGGTGCAAAATTAACTGACTCCAGACCTAAACTCACACCTGGCCCATGATCACTGAAAATACTATGGCAGATTTTTCAACCATTTTCAGAAATTCTGTTGTCTATATCCACATCTGTCTATTGTTCAGTAGCACACATGCTGTGTGAGTCAAGGATTTTAATTTATGAATTTTCACCAAAGTTGTGTTCATCATGAACTTTGACACAAATTTGATTAAAACTGCGAGAAAGACTTTGTACATATTTACAGATTTAGCATTTGCCACAGATTTTCTTATTGAGGTTGTTAGAACTTCTTCTGTAAGAGAAACTATAACAAAATATCAGAGAGAGCAGCAAAAGAACTGCCTAAATTTGCCATTTGTGGCTCCATAATTCAAAACAATTTTCAATAAGTATCATGTCCTAACTGCTCGGATGATCCAGCAATAACATGTATGTTTCAGGTGCCACAAGAACACAGAATATTTGTACAATCTGTACAAAAGATAAGTAGATCATACCATCCCTTTCTATGGCAGCCAGCATCTTCAGCCTGTTTCAGCACACCAGACTCATTCAGCAGCAGGGACAGAACAAACACTGCACTGTCTGTGTACACAGAAAACCGATTTGGAAGCAACAGGAGATCGTTCTACCAAAGAAATTCAGGGACCTTCCTGTTCCCCCCGGTTTCTCCTGCCCAGAATTCAAGCCACTCCACTGGCCGACCCCTCTTAGTCATTTGACAGCCTGAAGCCATCCAAAGGAACACCAGGGATGGCAAAGACAAAGGCCACGCAATGCCTGCAACTCAGGACCTGCTGGCCTCTAGACAGCCTCAGCAGAAAGGCTAAGCTTCATATTATTAATACACAGGTTTATTACACTTCTAGATCATTATGAATACTGCTCTTTCAATAAACACTTTCATTTACAGAAAAATCTCTCCTTCTTTTGGTTATCTGAATCAGAGCTAAATACATATTTTGTATTTCTTTGTGATGACAATTTATGCAGAGATCCAAAATTTGTGATAACATTGGACCTTTTTATCTGCTTGATAGATAAAAGCCCTGGAGGTGTGTCTTGGGAAAAGACTGCACTTCTCTGTCATAATCTTGCTAGTGTAATTACCATAGAGAAGGAGCAATTTCTATTCCTGCAAGAGCATATGCAAAGGACATTTGATGCACACCAGATTGTTGGTTTCCTTAATCCACCAAACACGTTGTTTGTTATTTCAGCTGATCACCCTTGCAAGGCCTGCAAGCTTCGCTGCAGCTGTGAGAGCACCGAGCGCCCGAGCCCAGGGCTGGGCAGTGCCTGCCCTGCTTGCACAGAGCAGAGCCACGCTGAATGGGACAGGCGCCCTGAATGGGACAGCCCAGGCACCCAGCCCAGCCCTGCACAGGTGAGGCAGTACCTGGATAAAGCCTCCCCACAGCACCCAGCCCAGCCCTGCACAGGTGAGGCAGTACCTGGATAAAGCCTCCCCACAGCCCAGCCCTGCACAGGTGAGGCAGTACCTGGATAAAGCCTCCCCACAGCTCAGCCCTGCACAGGTGAGGCAGTACCTGGATAAAGCCTCCCCACAGCTCAGCCCTGCACAGGTGAGGCAGTACCTGGATAAAGCCTCCCCACAGCACCCAGCCCAGCCCTGCACAGGTGAGGCAGTACCTGGATAAAGCCTCCCCACAGCTCAGCCCTGCACAGGTGAGGCAGTACCTGGATAAAGCCTCCCCACAGCCCAGCCCTGCACAGGTGAGGCAGTACCTGGATAAAGCCTCCCCACAGCTCAGCCCTGCACAGGTGTGGCAGTACCTGGATAAAGCCTCCCCACAGCTCAGCCCTGCACAGGTGTGGCAGTACCTGGATAAAGCCTCCCCACAGCTCAGCCCTGCACAGGTGAGGCAGTACCTGGATAAAGCCTCCCCACAGCTCAGCCCTGCACAGGTGAGGCAGTACCTGGATAAAGCCTCCCCACAGCTCAGCCCTGCACAGGTGAGGCAGTACCTGGATAAAGCCTCCCCACAGCTCAGCCCTGCACAGGTGAGGCAGTACCTGGATAAAGCCTCCCCACAGCTCAGCCCTGCACAGGTGAGGCAGTACCTGGATAAAGCCTCCCCACAGCCCAGCCCTGCACAGGTGAGGCAGTACCTGGATAAAGCCTCCCCACAGCTCAGCCCTGCACAGGTGAGGCAGTACCTGGATAAAGCCTCCCCACAGCACCCAGCCCAGCCCTGCACAGGTGAGGCAGTACCTGGATAAAGCCTCCCCACAGCCCAGCCCTGCACAGGTGAGGCAGTACCTGGATAAAGCCTCCCCACAGCCCAGCCCTGCACAGGTGAGGCAGTACCTGGATAAAGCCTCCCCACAGCACCCAGCCCAGCCCTGCACAGGTGAGGCAGTACCTGGATAAAGCCTCCCCACAGCTCAGCCCTGCACAGGTGAGGCAGTACCTGGATAAAGCCTCCCCACAGCTCAGCCCTGCACAGGTGAGGCAGTACCTGGATAAAGCCTCCCCACAGCTCAGCCCTGCACAGGTGAGGCAGTACCTGGATAAAGCCTCCCCACAGCCCAGCCCTGCACAGGTGAGGCAGTACCTGGATAAAGCCTCCCCACAGCCCAGCCCTGCACAGGTGAGGCAGTACCTGGATAAAGCCTCCCCACAGCTCAGCCCTGCACAGGTGAGGCAGTACCTGGATAAAGCCTCCCCACAGCTCAGCCCTGCACAGGTGAGGCAGTACCTGGATAAAGCCTCCCCACAGCTCAGCCCTGCACAGGTGTGGCAGTACCTGCACAGAGCCTCCCCACAGCTCAGCCCTGCACAGGTGAGGCAGTACCTGGATAAAGCCTCCCCACAGCCCAGCCCTGCACAGGTGAGGCAGTACCTGGATAAAGCCTCCCCACAGCCCAGCCCTGCACAGGTGAGGCAGTACCTGGATAAAGCCTCCCCACAGCTCAGCCCTGCACAGGTGAGGCAGTACCTGGATAAAGCCTCCAGCTGCTGATCCACCTCCCGGAGCTTGGCGCCGTAGCTGCGGGCGAGCTCCTGGTACTCCTGCAGCACCAAGGCCTGCAGGTCAGGGTAGGGGCACTCCAGAGACACCAGCTCGGGAGGAACCTCAAGGAAAAGCCCGTTTTTATCTTCAGGAGAGTGCTCCAATGCCTGCAATGGAGAAATGCTGCTCAGGGCATCACTCTGCATCGTATTTACCCCCTCAATCAACCTCAACTTCAACTCGTAAGGAAAAGCTTACATTTTCTTTGCACTCTTCGAGCTCTCTTTCCAAAGCCAGACTTTCAAGGATGAGACCTTCCAAAATTGCCTTCTGTTGATTCTTCATAAATTTGATCTATTTCATGAAACACGTTACTGTTACTCTTTCTCTTGCTACAATATGAAAACTCTTGTTTAGAAACAGAGTCAGATTTCCAGCCCTACACTGCTATGGTTTTACAGACTTCGGTGAGCAGATTTACACCATGATAAGACGGGGGGTTAATGGCTAACTCTGCATGTGAGCTATAATCTGAAAGTTCAACAAAAAATAAATTAAAATGCCAAAAATATGGTGATAGCAAATTGTAAAAATAAAGTTAAAACACCGACCTGCTGTAGCACCTCAGCTGAATTGATCTTGGGTTTCTGACAAGATTCTTTTGAGAGGTAACGCTGCACTTGAGACAGCTTGAGTTTCAGATCCTCCTTGAGCTGCCAGACAGGAACTAAAGCGTTTGTTTGATAAGTGTCCCACTCCTTGGACAGTTTCTGCTCTGTAAGAACATGAAGCTTTCTCAAACACACAAAAGATGTTACACAGCATGTGCTATGTAAATCTAAACCTGCCAAGGAAGGGATTAAAAAACCCAAACAAACAATCAAGATAATGTTGACTATAAAAAAGTAATTAAGAAATTAATAAAAAATTCTTACCCAATTCCCTCAAATCAAAACAGAAGTTGTTCTTATTGCTTTCTTCATCAAGAAAAGTCTTCATTTCTTCTTCTGCTTTTTGCCTGAAGGAAATGAACATGCATTTTGCAGAAAGATCTAATTTCTTATTCACTACATTTGCAAGAATGATGAGCCTCAAATACCCCAATAATTACATTAAAAAGGCGATTCTTTTCCTGGGAAGGTGTGAAGTGAAGGCCTTGGACACAAAGGTGGTAAAGGAGCCACAAATGCTCCCGTTGAGTACACAGGGTAGTGCACAAGGGCACTGTTAATGTTCCCTGTCCTGTGACCTCAACACACAGCCTGGAGACAGCCTCTGAAGGAACTAAAAGGCATCTGCAAACTTCTGATATTTTTATATTCTTACAAAGACACAGGCTTCAGATGCTGCAGATCAACCGAACAGCTCTGGGAGCAGCGCTCCCTGTTCCCCCTGCCCTCAGGGGAGCTCCTCATGTCACAGACCCCTCTCCACGTGCATCACAAACCTCCCTTCCCCACACAAAAACACCTTCGGATCAGGGATTATAATCTTTTTTTCTCAGAGTCCCTCGAACCAATTATGCCAGCCCAAAACCTCTGTCTGCTGGTCTCTTTAGCAATCACTCATTCAGGGTCCTCAGCCCTTACCTGCTCTCACTCAGTCTTTTGTACTCTTGCCACCACACCTGACGATGCTGTTTCAGCAGCATTTGCTCTTTGCCGATTTTTGAAACTTGCTCTGCTTTTTTAATCTGCAGGGAAAATTAAAGGTTGTGTTTTGAACATATTCAACAGCTTTATCAAATGCCTTCACATGGAAACTTTTAAATACAGAATGATAACCTAATAAAAAAAATAAAACCTAATAGCTTTTTTTAAAACTGTGTTTTTCTAAAGAACAATGGGATCAAATGTAACCAATTTTCATTAAATAAGTTTGTTGCATTTCAAATCACAATTAATGAGAGGAGAAAGTGAAAAAAAAACAAAACCAGTCCATTTACTTCTTTCCTGTCCCATTCCTATGACCCTGGAAGTAAAGATGAGGAAAGATAAACAGAAGAACAAAAAACACACTTTCGTACAGGTGGGAAGATGAAAGATGAAAATATTTCAAGAAAAAGAATTTCAAGAATGTATTACCAAAAAAGAAGTTTTTTACAAAATCTATCCAATTAGAGAGGCTCTCAAACGGAGGACTTCACAAAAACCTTGCTTCACACTTTGGATAAAACAGGAGCACCTGCTTTTGGAACAGATGGAGTTCCTGCTCAAAGCAGAGGGAAGGCTGCCAGGGGGAGGCTGCTCAAGCGGAGCCAGACGACTCTGGCCAGCCAACAACGATGGAAAAGGCTCAGGATCCTGAGGGGAGGGGTTTCCTCTGACCGCCCTGCTGTCCTGTCCCTGCCCACGTTCCTGGTGCTCCCTCGCCATCCCCGTGCCCAGCGCTCCTGCCCGACCCTCCGTCCCCTCACAGACACAACACCGTCCCGTGCCACAGCAGCAGCCGGGCAAGGAAAACACACGGGCAAGCCTTGTGTTCATTCACAACAGGGAGAAACGAACAAAGATCTCGCCCCACATCCAGTCCAGCAAAGGAGTGATGTTTCAGGTCAAAACTGCTGGGACTCCACTTGGCTCAGCTGGAAACGACCTGCAGCTTTCTGCCCAGGGCAAAGCTGCACAAAGCCACCAGGACCCTCCGTGTCCACACCACCAGAGCACTGGGCAAACACACCCAGAGACACGGACGTGTCCCCTCTCCTGCCATCCCACACACAGAGATAGACGTGTCCCCCAGTGTGTCCCCTCTCCTGCCATCCCACACACAGAGATAGACGTGTCCCCCAGTGTGTCCCCATTCCTGCCATCCCACACCCAGAGATAGACGTGCCCCCCAGCATGTCCCCATTCCTGCCATCCCACACCCAGACATGTCCCCATTCCTGCCATCCCACACCCAGACGTGTCCCCAGCGTGTCCCCTGTCCTGCCCCTCTCCTGGGGACACCAGCAGGAAAAGGTGGAATTGCTCTTTGCAGCACTCACATGGACAAGGAGGGGCTTGAAAACTGCAATCACAGTGCCTCAGCCAGCCACCAACAAAGCTGAAATCCTGCTCCAAACACAAACCCAGCTCAGAAACGCTGAGCCCCCCTGAAATCCTGCTCCAGACACACAAGCCCAGCTCAGATAAGCTGAGCCCCCCTGAAATCCTGCTCCAGACACACAAGCCCTGCTCAGATAAGCTGAGCCCCCCTGAAATCCTGCTCCAGACACACAAGCCCAGCTCAGATAAGCTGAGCCCCCCTGAAATCCTGCTCCAGACACACAAGCCCTGCTCAGATAAGCTGAGCCCCCCTGAAATCCTGCTCCAGACACACAAGCCCAGCTCAGATAAGCTGAGCTCACCTGAAATCCTGCTCCAGACACACAAGCCCTGCTCAGATAAGCTGAGCCCCCCTGAAATCCTGCTCCAGACACACAAGCCCAGCTCAGAAACGCTGAGCCCCCCTGAAATCCTGCTCCAGACACACAAGCCCAGCTCAGAAACACTGAGCTCACCTGAAATCCTACTCCAGACACACAAGCCCAGCTCAGATAAGCTGAGCCCCCCTGAAATCCTGCTCCAGACACACAAGCCCAGCTCAGAAACGCTGAGCCCCCCTGAAATCCTGCTCCAGACACACAAGCCCAGCTCAGAAACACTGAGCTCACCTGAAATCCTACTCCAGACACACAAGCCCAGCTCAGATAAGCTGAGCCCCCCTGAAATCCTGCTCCAGACACACAAGCCCAGCTCAGAAACACTGAGCTCACCTGAAATCCTGCTCCAGACACACAAGCCCAGCTCAGATAAGCTGAGCTCACCTGAAATCCTGCTCCAGACACACAAGCCCAGCTCAGAAACACTGAGCTCACCTGAAATCCTACTCCAGACACACAAGCCCAGCTCAGATAAGCCGAGCCCAGAGCCTGTGGGTGAGCTCACCTGGCCCCTGGACAGCCACACAGGGAGAGCCCCACTGGAAGGGGCTGATGCTTCTGCGTGGCACCAAACCTGCCCTGGGGACACCGTGGGGACACCGTGTGCCCGTGCCCAGGACACCAGGTGTTACAGCAGCCGCACTGGGCTGGGCTGCAGCTCCAACACACGAGTTCCATGCTTTCACTGTGTTACAATACCTTGCATCAAAGATAATGTCTCGCTTTTATTGCTTACATATTTCCACACTCTGAAAGTTACTTATAGTTTCCTCTATTTCATGAAACATTACTGTTACTTCTTTCTCTTGTTACAATATGAAAATCTTATATGAAATCAGACTTAGCAAACAGAATACTGTATTTAAAGCAATTTGAAAATAGTTACATCTGCAAACCAATTCTGAAACTAAGTGAAACAAAAGTTGAAGTACCTTTATATGTAAAGTTCAACATGCTCTTGAAATTATTTTACAGCGACAGCATTGCCATTTATGTATAACTGCTGCAATATTACCTTTTTTCCCTCTTGGGCTGCCTTTTTATTTCTTAAGCAGTCAGCAGCTGATTCACCATTTGTTTCTTTGCTTCTACCTCAAAGGAAGAAGAGCCCAGCTCTTCAAAATCTGAATGGCTTGAATCAGATGTGTTCCACCTACTGTGTTCCACCTCCTACAAAAAGTAGTAGGTGGAACACATACTAGTCTCTCTGGAGTTTCCACCATACATATTTTACGACCTACTCAGTTGGAAAACACTTGAGAAGGTGAAAAAACAAAAGAAAGATGAAAACATAAAGCTTGAATGAATTCAGTAGAATTTGGTATTGCCAATCCATGACCAATATCTGCCAGAATTGTTGATATATGATACTTACGTGCACAAAAGAAGCAAAATAATAATAATAATAATTTATAGTCTATTTTTTTCTCTCTCATTCACCCACCCTTCCCTAGCATTAAATAAGGCTCCTCTTGTCTTTACCCCTTGAGATGTTCTGCACTAATTTATACCTTTCTGTCTGCTCCACATTTACATTTTATGGTGATTAAACATTTTTAATCTTCTTTGTAAGATCTACCTCCACTTGAGTTTTGGAAATCCTCACTTCATATCTTTTTGTTTGGCTTTTTTTTTCTGGATCAGCCTTCCCTTCTCATTTAATCACACAAATTCTTCATTGCCCCCAGGATTATGTAATAAATTTGGGTGAATTTCCTCAAGGCAGTAAACCACAGATTTTTCTTGTCTTTTGAGGAAGTAGAATCCACACATACTTTGCATCCCTGATCCAAACAAAGTCCCAAAATGACATTAACACATCCAAATCCCAGTATGGCTATGATGAACTTTCATATCTGACCCCCTCTGGCTGAAAGAAATAAGGTCACTGAATTTTAAAAGCATTCACATGACAAATAAAACCAAAATCATACCTTTAACTGAATTTGTGCAGAGGCCATTTTTGCCTCTGCAGCGAGTTCATACAGATGTTTGTAGTCAACAGGTTTGTACTTCTGGCTGCAAGGAGCATTTCTGGCAGGAACCACCAAATTGTCTAGTTATCATATAAAACACACAAGGACATTTCAATTTCTCAAGAAATAATTCAAGTGCAAGGCATAAAATGAAAGCTCTGTAGATAGAAATCAGAACCATGTTTTCAACACTAGAAGTTTTCAACACAATATTGTTAGTTTGTGAATGACAATTTGAAACAAACAAACTAATACACTAACATCAAAATTATATAAGAAACAGTAACCAGTTGTTTGTTTACAAAAAGTTAATTTGACAAGTCTTTAGTTTACATGTGAATTTAGTTATCAATTCATTTTAAACTGCATTTACAGGCATTGTAATAACTTCTAATACAGATATACCTAAATTTCAATAAATGCATCCTTCTTACACTGATTGGAAAGCTGCCCCAATGTTTTTTGTAACCTGTGGGTTGAGCAGCAGGAGTAGTTTTTTCTGGAAGGTATAAAATTGAGGTACAATTACAACTGTAAATGAACTACCTGAACTTTTGCCCTGGCACACAGACACTCAGTCACTGCACATAAGCTAGGAGGCTTACAGGGATCAGGGCGTTTCCTTACAAGCTCTGCTTTGGTTTTCCTTGGTGTGGAATTGGCCGTTATGTTTCACATTCCCTCTGAGCTCTGAGGCTGGCAGTGCTGTGCCTGACGTGTGGTTTCACAGAGGGGCAAAAGGTGCAATAAACCCTGCAGGGCCATCCCAGGGTGCTCCGTCAAGCCTCCCCCAGGGTTTCCATTTGCTGCATGCCCACACAAAGCTGACAGCGCCTCTCCAGAGGATGCCTTGCTGGGAAGGGTTTTCCAAGCCCCCTGCCCTGGGACAGGCACTGAACGGACAGGAGCAGCCCTGGGGAGAGCAGCTCGGGGATCCTGTGGGCAAAAATCCGGGCATGAGCTGGCAGGGAGCCCAGCAAGCCAGCCTGGGCCCGGCCTGCAGGAGAGGCAGCGTGGAATTCAGTTATTGACTCATTTGATGAATGGTGCTGGGGAGGGGCTCTGCCCCTCTGCAGAGACCAACACTGAGCTCCAGGACACAGCGGGACAGAAACCTGGCCCAGAGACCCTGGAAATGGCTGGAACATTTCTCCTGTGAAGGCAGGCTGACAGAGGAGGGGATGTTCGGCCAGAGGACACTGCACAGAAACCTTATTGCAGCCTCTTGGTACGTGAAGGGGGCTTCCATGGGAAACAGAAAGGCTCTTCACCAGGATCTGCAGGGACAGCCTGGAAGGAGGGTGGGTACAGACAGGAACTAAAGGAGGAATTGTTCCCTGGCAGGGTGGGCAGGGCTGGCACAGCCGTGGCTGCCCCTGGATCCCTGGCAGTGCCCAGGCCAGGCTGGACGCTGGGGCTGGAGCACCTGGGACGGGGGAAGGTGTCCCTGCCATGGCTGGGTGGCATGGGTGGGCTTTGAGGTCCCTCCAAACTCAAACCATAACCAGGGTGTTATAACAGCTCCTACATGAGGCTATTCATTGCAGAGTGTTTCATAAAGAGTCAAGAAAACAATTAAACATGATAGCATACATACCTTCACCACCAATCCTATGAGCTAAAAACAATGTTCCATGGTCCAGTTCATCCATTTTTATTTTTTATGTATTTTTATACCTGTTGAGAAACAAACATAGGTTTTGAGAATACCAACATTGTGGACGCAATCTAAAAACACTTTCAAAAATATCTATTGTTTTTTGAGAAGAGGTACATCTCACTTGAAATGTAATTAGACAAATTCCTCCAGTTTATCTTTCATTTCAGGAGAGATTTCATGTGCCTCACACCATTTAGCAGCCAGGAAAAGAAAATACTAGTTCCTTGATGAATTTGTAATGCTGTGACATAGCTCATCTATTCTTTGCTTTATGCTTTTCAAAATATGAAATCCAAATGTCAGATCAGGTTTTGAGGTGTGCTTTGCTTTATAGAAATTAAGCCTGGAAAGATCAGTCTCTCCTTCTTTTGGAGACTGCCCAGGTCCCTTTGACCCCTCTGTGGTAACACCTGTGACACCAGGGCAGTTGTGTGGGCAGCAGTGGCTCAGCTCCTGGTGAGCAGCACGCATCAGGCACCCACACCATCACGGGTCACACAGCACGTGTCACATGCAATAAGTTACACAGCGCAGTAAAAAATGCCTTGTATGTGCCAGACCCCTCACTTCCAATTAAGCATGCATTGGTGTCATCCCAGGTCTGGCACAGAAATAAAAGCAGTAGTTCCACCTGAGGTGCTTCAGCTGAACTGAACCAACAGCTGAGTCACACCAGAAAGGAAAGGCCACGTCCAGCAAGGCTCCCCATGAACCCCCTCCCTCAAACCCAGCCATACTGTGCCAAAATTTCACACACACAAAATTCCAGCTCTTTGTCACGCCTTTGACAGTCGCCTGGTCCCACAGCAAGCAGCAACACAGCAAATAGTAGAGCAGCAAAATTTGTTCATTTGTGGAGTTGTTTCCTCACTGTTTTAGTAGGATGAACTGCTTTATCGCTACAAATTCCAAGGACGGCACAATGCAACAGGAAGGTGGGAAGGCAGACCAGCAGAAGAAATGTAAAGGGGACTGCTCTGACAGAGAGCTATTAATGTCAGCCAAATAAAAAGGTGAGACTGCAGCTGAAGACAGTCTACAGTCTGTTTGGCACTCTGCATCCAGCCCTCTGCTATTGAGGGTCAGTCCCCCTGTGCCTGCTTTTTGTGGTTTCTGATCATCTGGGCACTGCTCCTACTGACAGACTTGGGGAGGGAGTACCACAGTGACTCTCATCTGCACCATACAGTGAGGGCAGAAATAACACTGATGGAAAACTGGGAGTACTCAAAAGCCCTAAGAAGATTGGATGCATCACAGGCACTTCCCTCTATTAAAACCTTTTATTACTGTTCCCTGTGCAGCTGCCGCATCAGCGTCACTCTCCTGCATTACACATTTGGGAAACCATCGTCCTAATCTGGGCCCATCTGGCCAGCTTTAAATGACAAGCTTCTAACACAAGACACGCTGTCCTTTTGGAAAAATAACTATGGATACCATAAAGATTAGCAGCAGCAGAGCTACCCCTCTGGGTTATTTATTTGTTCATCTGGCAAATTGTTAACATCTTCTTTCTACTGACACGTTTCTGATTTCATGTCAGTATTTGAGCAAAACTTCACACATATTAACCTTAGCTTCACCTCCTTTCACAAGAAACCAGGAATACATCTCGAGAACAGAACTGATGCAAAAAATTTACTGGCCATTTTCTGTAAATTTAGGGCTACTGTATTTGATGAACCAAGTCCTTAATCCCTTCTAGCCAACCCATTTCTCCCTTCCACAATGATGTCATACATTTGTATTTGATCTCAGCCTTTCACAGGCATTATTTTCTGTTATTCAACAGTATGAACTAACTAAAACACTGAAAGTGAATGCTAAGATGGTTCTGGAAAAGGACAAGATCCATACAGATCTGCATTTTATCTTCAGTAACTAATAAACCTACTAATCAAAATGATAAAAGCACTGCAAGTTATATTTATTTCTGCTTTAATGCAGATATAGTTAGAAACCTCTCAAATACTGTAGAAGTCCATCTAAGCCCAAATTCCAATACTTTGCTCAAACTTCATTGCAGGCACTAGGCTGGAAGTCTTGATGCATCTTAAAAAGAAAAAGTGCACAAGACCAACCAGCCACCAGGCAGAAGTCCCTGTACATAGAAATCTGCCCCCCAAGAATGCCAAGTCAGCTCTGCCTACAGCCAAGCACAGCTAAATATTTCAGCAGCAGTACAAAGCACAAGGTTTACCAAATCTCTTTTTCTGCTCCTTTGACAATTTAGTATTTCACTATTCACTGAACTCTTTTAGGCAATAAAAACATAGTCTCTTAAAAGATTTCATCTCCAATTCAACCAAACTCTTCAGTACATTCTTAATGTGAGCCCTTGCTGGTGTCTGAGGTACGTGACCTCTGTTTATTCTTACATATGCAAATAGCCAATGTTGAGGCAAGACTCTCCTTCGTTTAATTTAAATAGAAATTAAACTCCCCAGCGTCAGCCAGCATTCCTGGAAGAAGCCAAGCCTGGTGCCTGCCACATTCTGCTCCTGGGGATGAGCCAGGTCCAGCCCAGGCCCAGCTCCACAAGTCAGTGATTTAAAAGAGCCTAATTCCACTGTCTCCATCCAACAAGGAGTTTGCATACACAAACCTTTGCAGATCTGGGTCACCAGTGCCACTTTCCCTCCCAGCTAAAGTGCTGCTCATCAAGTGAGGGACAGACGGATTTCTGGCAGGGAGGCACAGTGCTTGACGAGCCAGACGTGCCTTTTGAAACACAATTTCTTGTGCATGCTTTAAATCACTCACGTTATCAAATGCAAAAATCAATAGTATGAATCAAGTCTTCACAAAAGGGAGTTCGGCAGCATCTCCAGGGGCAGGGCAGCAAGTGCCCCTCGGGTTTGTGTGAAGGAAGGCTGCAGAACCCTGTGCCAGCAGGTGCCACAGTGCCACAGCCCTGTCCATGGCTCACCTGAGGCACTGCTGGGGCTGCACCACCAGAGACCAGAGCTGAACCACAGACCCACCGGGAGCAGCATCACCAGGAGCTGGGATTGTGCATTACAGCAGAGGGTCCTAGAAAGTGCAAACTCGGGAAAAACCCCCAAATTCAGGAGTCCCTTATTCTCAATGCTCTCTTTTGGATATCTGGCTATGTCTGGAACGTTTTGTGGAATGTTTTTAAAAAGATTTTGAAGTTTAATGGAAACGTTAATCACTTAGTTACTGCATGTTTTAATTTTTAAAAAAGCATATTCATATGCTGTTGTTGAACCCTCCGATCCTAATTATTGTTAAGGAAAAGAGGCAAAGATTCACTCCCATTGAAGGGTGTGGAGTACAAATAACAAACAAATAATGAGCTTGAGCCCTTAATCAGATCCTTTCTCTGCTAGTTGAACTAACTATCTGAAAATGGCACCCATCCAGAATGTGTTAATCTTGCAGCAGTCAATCCTTTCCACAGGAAGAAAATACACAGTATAATACTTCTATCATTCGGTGCCAAAACAGTTTCTAGAAAAGTCCCATTGTTTGATTGTAATTTAAATTTACATTCCCCTAAAGAAAGAATTATAGCTCTCTTTGAAATAAAGTCAAGTCTCAGAAACGGTATGTTCCCAAAAGAGACACAGTCCTTTTTGTCTATGATAATCTCATTACTCCCTCATTAAGTAAAACTTAATCCAAATTAGGAAGATCAATTTGAGTAACACTTAAAACAATCAGCTTCATGGACTGCTCTGTCACACTGCAGGGGCAGGGAATAGCTCATCTGTTTTCTGAGGATCTGCACATCACAAGGGAACTCTACTTCCCCTCCATTCTTGGAATATTCTTAGAAAATCCAAGAGAAAATAAACTTTAGGAACACTTAGAAAACACAAACAGATAAAAAAAGGAAGTAAATGCTTTAGAAGTTGGTAAGTTGACACAAAAAGGGTAGGAAATGAAGTCACCGTGTCACCTTGGATCAAGTGAGCCAGCTGGCATTTTATGTTGTTTAGTTTCAAAGAAAACGTGCACAATCCATTTTCAGTGACCAGACACAGCTGGCCTGCTGCAGTGAGCACACCTGGCAATTGCAAGGTTTAAATGAAAGAGCATGAAATGAGAAAGTGCTCTGAGTAGTTAACCATAGAACATTGGGAGCTGGATCTTAAAGCTCCTCCAGCTGCCCCAGGTGCTCCAGCCCCAGTGCCCAGCCCGGCCCTGGGCACTGCCAGGGATCCAGGGCAGCCACAGCTGCTCTGGGCAATGCCTGCCATGTGCCTGCACAAACCTGCACAAAGTCCAGCTTGGCTGAGCTAAAGGCAAAAATTCTGAGGCATCATTTACAGAAACTTACAAGAAAGTTCCGTAACACAAGAGATTTGCAGAATTTTGTCATATGTTGTTTTTATTAATGTTCTATTTTGATTTCTATTTATTACCTCCATGTACAACAAAAGCTAGGAAATGAAACAATAGGCATGAATATATGAAAGAATGGTTGGAAGACATAAGGCTGAGTTATCCATTACAGGACCCTAAAATTTTCTCCATTACTTAAGACAAAATAAATGTTTAGTTAAATTGACCTGTGACTGCCTGGCCCCTAAAGCATACCTGCTATTGCCTAGGCTGTGTGCAAAGGCTTGTTTGGAATGGTGCAGCAAGCAACTCACCCCTCTGCTGCTCTGTACGCATAGAAAAAACACTTAAATCTATAGAATTCACTTAGCACAACAGAAGCAAAGATGCTGTTACACAAAACCGCAGAGAATCAACATTCCCTGCAATACAACAAAGTACCTGGGCTTTGCACTTCTATTATCAAGAGGCAGGATTTGCACTGTACCACAGCAATTGCAGAAACAGATTCCACATGTAACACCACTGGGCCAGTGGAATAAGGATGCAATTTTACAGGCAGGGTTAATGAAGGAGCTAGACCTCCAAAGGAGCTGCAATAGATCAGTGTGTTCTGCAGGAAGCATCACATGTACTGAACCATCAGATACTGAAACAGTCAATACTAAGTAGTAGCAGAAGTTCAATGGAAGACCGTTTAAGAA